TCTCTTAAAAATTCCGCAACTCTCACCTCTTTGACACCTGTAGTATTTCTTGAATCGAGGAAGGCTTCCAAATCTCCTACAAGTTTGTTCATTTGTGAATACTTATCCTCGAGTGTTACTTTGGCATCAATAAGCTTCATCTGGACACGTTCCTCACGCCAAACCTCAGCCATCTGCAGCATTCTTCTTTCATCGTCTACTTCCTCTCTGAGATTCATGGATTCACTCTTCAATGCTTCAATCTCAGCTTTATCTTCTTCTATTTCCTTTGCAAGTTCATCACAAACTTCTTCGACCAATTCTCTTGCCTTCCTTTCCTGTTGGTAATCATGCATGTAACGCTTTACTGCTAACTTTGAATCTGCAAGCTCATTGACTAATTTTAGATTGACGATTTCTAATCTCTGGCGAGTCTTCTTTTCCTGGTTCATGTCAGCTTTCATGTCATCAATAATAGCTCGGACCTTCTCATGCTCCCTGCTCCGCCAAGCTGCCCTCTCCTCACTAACTTTCTTCAGGAACTGCTCAAGCTTCTTTTTTTGAGATCGCTTCTCACTCTCAAGATTCTTAATGCAAGCACGAGCTTCCTGGAGTTTTAACTCAATAGAAGAAGCTAGTGAAACAGAATTCACTTGTTGATTATTCAACTTCACGTTGCAATAGATTTGGTGTACTTCATCCCTTGTATCCAAGCAAATGGGATCCCATTTTGTTGCCCCCTCCATCGCGCAGTGAGGAGATGGAATTGAAGGCTCATGCTAACAGCAAAAGAAATAGCAGATTTCAGATCAAGAAACCCAAAAAGGAAAGATCAACGGAAACTGTCACATTAAAAAGGAACCTTAGAAGACTCAGCCAACCAAGAAATGTGCAGAGTGACAATGTCTTAAAGTGTTCAAGTTAACAACTATAGTGAAACTAAAGCAGCATTTTCATATTCATACCAAGACGGTTGAACTTACCAAGGTCAGATTTACTAGCTCAAGTAACAACTCTAAACTCTAGAACCTTCACCTCAACCACAACATTTAGTTATTGTTCTTAAGACTTTTTTGAAGCATATCTACATCTAATTGAATTGACATAATATAATATTCACCTAAAAGCTTGAGGTTATCAACACACCTTACACAAGAATCCACTATGCTTGTTTCTTGAATTATTGCTTTGAAAGCCAGAAGAATGTTTGTCATCATAGTGATAATAAAACAGAGGACCCAAGTGTCCAGCAGGACCAGCAGTTTCCTGGGAAAAAAACATCAAAGAATATAAAGAGAAATTTCTTTTCTACTCTGAGAAAATAACTAAAACCAACTAATTTATATCCATGACACAAGAAACAGAGTGTACAGATTCAAGAGACATGAGCAAACAGTTATGAACTGTGTGAAGATCCCTCGAATCAACAATCATTTCTATTTCAGATTACTATTAAAACAACCAGCTAAACCAATCCAAATGCTATCATACTTTTGATTCAAAGCTAAAGCAAAATCAGCAATCGTATAATCTTTTGATTGCTTTTATTATCACAATGCGAATCCTACAAATCCAGAAGAAATGTCTCATTTTCCAAAGAGCAAAGCTGTACCTGAAACCCTAAACGATCCTTGCTCCTCTTATCTCGGCCGCTAGAAACGTCATCCGGGACTCGCAATCGCCACACTCCGGCCGCAAGTTTCCTTACAGTATCCGGCGGTACACTTCTCCTTCGTTCCTGGCAACGCATCTTATTACAATCATCGTCCTCGTAATCATCATCTTCAACCGCGACGCATCGCTCACTGTTATGATCCTCCACCTTCGATTTCAATATAGGAGTCTCCGGCCTGCTTAGCCTCCTGACAGAGACGCCGGATCTTCGCTGACGAGTGAAGCTCGGTTTTCGCGCTCTCCGTATATGACTAGCCCTGAGATTTGGGACAGTTGCAGGAAATGTAGCCGTCGAATTTGATTTTCCGGTGAACTTCATCTACTCAATCGACGTAACAACCACCACCATAGACAAGTTTTTCAATGTGAAGAATCGAAGAGAAGAATCTGAAAAGAGAAAACCGAAGAAACAGCCGAAAATGCGTGAAAGAGAGATATGGATTGATGATTGAGAGTTGAAAGAGCTTGTGATGATGCAACTTGCTTGCTTGCTTGATCAGAACTGTAACGAAAGAGAGAGTGATGATTGATGATTAGTTTCACATGTCCAAATCTTTTTTTTTTTTTTGGTGCTTCGGATTCTCTGGGTATCGAAGCCCAACAACAAAGATACAAATAAAGCCCATACATACATGGTTAAATTCTTTAAAGGATTAGATATGATCAAAACCTTAATTATGAGATTTTAGACGATCATTATTATTTATTAGTACTTCTTACTTAATAATATGCTAGATTTTATATCAATGGAAATGTAATTGATGGGCTTTCCACTCCCTTGAGTCCCTTCACATGGAATGATTCTGCATTCGTTTTTTTTTTTTCTCATTTTGGTCCATGCATAGAATGATACAAACTTTTTCTTTTCATAGTACATCATATTAGTATTTGATTCATCAGTTCGTTTACTGTTATTGTGATAATGATCTCACTACTCACAGTAAACAAAACAAATGATGTAACTCGATTTTACTATCTAAATGTGTAGTATATGGCTATGTATGTTTGTTTTTTATGTTTTTATAATTTTTTTAATTATAGAAGAAATTTGGATGGAAATCTCAAATATTATTGTTTCCAATATATATAATTTTGTATCATTTTTGTTTTAAACACCTGATCTTGATTGCCTTAACTCTATATCTTTGAATTAATCACTAGGGTGTCAAGGGCATCTTCTTAGCTCTTTTTGTTTTTCTGTTTTTTTTTTCCATCCTCTCTATTTTTTCCTTTAATGTTTTAATTTCTTATAGTTATGCCTCTGTGTTTATGTGGAACTTCAAAAAGTTGTTGATTAAATGTCCAAAACTTTTTTTGTTATTGATTATTTTAATATTATATCTACCCTATCTAGTTGCAGACTTGCAGGAACCAGGAAGTGGTCTTATCTTATTTTCATCTTAAATTTTTGGCAAAATTTCTTGACTGTCTAAACCTAAGCAAATTAACAAAAGTCTTCGGGTGGTACTTAGTCAAAAACTCAATAGATATCTTTTTAATAACTAAAAATCTCAGTTTAATCTGTTTGTTTGAATACAATGATTGAACAAATGTGCAAAATGGTGAGTGTTGTATCACATAGCAACCGAAAATAATTAATTTATGTTTGTGTAACGTGTAACGTTTAACATAAATGTTGAACATAGACACATTGTATTGATTCGTTAAATGTAATATTTAACTATAAAATAAGAAAAATGAATAAACAGATAGGTATATAAAGCATATTTATTTATGATGAGATGATTAGGTATTTCGTCTCTACAGTGGTATGAACACCAAGATTCTTTAGCTTTTACTTATTAACTAATCGGTTCGAATTAACAAATAATGAGAGCAATAGGTGAGAGAGATGGATAGATCAACCAATGTTATACAGATCAGTTCATTTATTAAAAAAAAAATTCGGGGTATGTGGGTCAAGTGATCGATACTAAATAAAAATGCTCCTAGTAGTGGAATAATTCGATGTAACACCAACCTCAGGCTTTTGACTTATTTGAATAATAATGGTATATTAGTTGTTGAATTTGCATTTGATTATATAGTATAAAGTATTTGTAGAGTAAATTGGGTAATTGATGTTAAGATCGGATGATGATAGCTAGTAGAACAAACTATGTGAAAAACGGTAAAGGACAAACAAATAATAGTGATTAATGTAGAACATGAGTTGAATACTGGTTTTTAATGGTATAATAACTAGCAAATTCAAACTATATACTTAAATTTCCGAATATCCAACCATGTAAATATTTAAAACTTCAAAAAAAAGAAAAACAGAAGGTGATGGCAATGATAAATTATGGAAAGGTGGGAGACGTGAGTGTGCGTAACAACATGAGATGGCCTAAACGAGTAATTGAAAATTGGGTAGGGCATCTTTGGTTCAGAGATTCTGTTCCCTTTGGTTGCGTTCACACTTTCAAGATCCCTCCGCAATTGCCGTGTTCACACTACTTCACTTCACTCGGCTTCTTCCTAGCTCAATCGGCTCCATCCACACTTTTTTTTTTGGTTTATATAATTTCGAATTGTTCTATATAGTGGTTTTATTTACTTAAATAAGCTGAGAAAAAATTTGTTGTCACTAGTTTTTAGCAAATAAATAATCAACTCTCGTATTGTTTAGTATTATGGTCGATATATCTTATAATTTATCATAAATTGTTGTCAATGACCATTTTGTAGATTTACAAGTTAAATATATGTTGCATAACACTCTAAAAATTGTCGAATGTGTAATAATTTTCATTAGTAAATATATGCTAATATCATATAGTATGTCTGACAAAAAAAGAAAAAAAGTTGTATGAGTTGCATAAACAGAACAAGAGTATTACACATTTACACGCACAAGATAAATCACATTTTGTTCATATACGTTTACGTACGTTCATTTATATACTTTATTTGTATACAACGAAAAATAGCATCGGAGTATTGGACCATTGGGACTTCTGATTATTCATGCTACACGTTTTTTCTTTAGCCATATGCAATGGAATCTTTCGTGTTTAATTCTGTTTTCGTTAGACGTCACGTTAGGCAATTATTTTAGTTCTTCTTTTTTTTTATTTATTTCCACCAAAAAAGAAGATAAAAAATATTAAATCAGCAAAAATATCCAAGCCGAGCTGACGAGCCAAGAAGACACGTGTAACTAAGCGCCAAAAAAAGGACAAAAGCTGGTGACGGTGAGTTCAACAAATACATGTCCACGTAAGACTAAAGTACTCTGAAATCCGACGTGGCAAATTGTATAGGTTCTTATCATTGATCCTAATCTTTTTTTTATATATAATATATATTCATTGATCCTAATCTTTATCTCCTGTTATGATTTTAATATCCCACCAGCTTCTACCTACGTTATATATATAAGCTCTTTTACCAGTTACCTCCACATAAAATAGAAAAAAAAAATGGGGAATTGTTTAAGGCATGAATCAGAAATGCATTGGGCTGGTGAAGATTGGGATGAATTCATCACAGAAGATGAGGAAGATCATCATTATAGCTCTAAAACCACCAGAGATGGGAAAACAGTAGTTGTAACACGTGACAGTAAATCCTCTGTTCCATCTCATGAGATCAAGATCAGGCTCACGAAGAAACAACTCCATGATTTACTGAGTAAAGTCAACGTCCATGACTTGACCTTTCATCAACAGGCTGCTTTCTCATGTCCAAGCCTGAACAATCGTGGGTACGAAGAAGCCAATCATCAACGGTTATGGAGACCGGTTCTGCAGAGCATACCAGAGGTTAATTGAGGTTTTTTTTTCAGAGATGATCATGTGTATATGCTTAGGGGTTTCTTCACTTTCTTGATGTGAGGGTAGAATTTTGATGTAAATTTTGGTTTGGACACATGATCATCTTCTGTTTTTGTTTGTTAGATTGTAAATATAAGCGTAAAACTAGAATCAAAAGCTTGTTGTTAATACCAAGACTACTTGATTAGCTGAAACTTGTTATGACATGAAACCTCTCAAGATCTTACATTCTTACTCACAAACAATCAAAGCCTTCTCCGTTGTTGAACCCTCTCCGCCGGAGCTTTCTGTTTCTGGTTGGGCTTCGCCGGAGGAAAAGAAGAAATCTTATGGGCTTTATAAGCCCAAATTCACTTTACTCGTCCAACAAAAAGAAATAGACATTAAAAAGTGCATTAAATACAATTGATTTATTATCATCCCAATGCGTTTCGTTTTTTCCCTCCCCTAATATTCCAAAACGTCTTGAATTCATCATCATTACTAGTTTCCTTTCCTTACTAAAACCCTACGCTCCTCCGGCCGCCGTTGATTTTCCCGCGGCCGTTTCCGCCGTCAATCTCCGATTTAAGCAGCTGATTGAGGCTAATTCCTTCTTTTTTTGTGCTCATCGCTACCGGCGTTAGATCGACCAGCCAGACTCTACCTCATTTGACTGCTCTGCTGATTCAATCGCTCTTTCAGGTCTGTGCAGGTTTTGAAATTTTGCGGATCAGATTTTGATTCTTTTTTCGCTTTTTAGTTTACGATTGATTGAAATTGAACTTTCTCATAGTTCCTGCTGTAATTGAGATTTAAGGATAATTTCGATAGAGGTTCCTATTTCTATCAATCTAAAACATTTCAATTCAGGATTCAAGTAATGTTTGGTTTCTTATAAAAAAACAAGTGGAAACAACTGTGAAAGCACAATTTGTTTTTATTTGCTATTTCAATATTTATACGAACGTGATAATATACCAAATATCAGTATGTTTCCTGCATAGTGATATGTAAGATAAGTTACCAATATAATCCGCAACATGTATCCTTGGTAGCACCAACTTTATGGTGTGGAGATACTTGTAATCATGTTTAGAGTTTTTGAAATTTGCAGTTGTTTTTCTAACAGTCTCGAAAAGTTAGTTGCTTTTGGTTATTCTTAAACTAAATGCATCATATATCGTTGTATGTTATTTTAGCAGATTCTACAAGTTGTGACTCAGTACCTCCCTGCAACGAATTAGCATCCCGCCAGAATGTCTATTGCGTCATCACTTTCTTCAGCCACACTTTGCGGCGCCTCAGTTTTTCCTAAAGCATTAGGCTACAGCTCTGAGTTCCCAAGCAATCTTCCCAGTCCTTCTGAAAGTTCAAAGATTTGTTTGACTTCATTTCCTGCCTCTAGGGATCCCAAGAAAAATGCTACTTGGAATCTAACCCGAAATGTTGGTCCGATCCAAGGAATCAGGTGTCATGCTATGCAAGCTGGGACGAGGGAATTGAAGAAATTTGAACTTAGTGATGTGATTGAAGGGAAACAATTTGATAGGGAGATGCTAAGCGCTATATTCGATGTTGCACGAGAAATGGAAAAGATAGAAAAGAGCTCTTCCCAAAGTGAAATTCTCAAGGGTTATTTAATGGCTACCCTCTTTTATGAGCCTTCTACCCGTACCAGGCTTTCATTTGAATCTGCCATGAAACGCCTTGGAGGTGAAGTCTTAACTACTGAGAACGCTAGAGAGTTTTCGTCTGCCGCGAAAGGGGAAACACTTGAAGGTACCATTTTCTCAGCTAGTATCTCATTGTGGCTCAGACATTGTTGATTGTGTTTGATTATTTATGGTATTTTTTTTGGAGCATTTTTCAGACACAATAAGAACAGTGGAGGGTTATTCAGATATAATTGTGATGCGACATTTTGAAAGCGGTGCTGCAAGAAAAGCTGCAGCTACTGCCAATATACCTGTCATTAATGCAGGTGATGGTCCTGGAGAGCATCCTACTCAGGTTTGTTGTGTTCTTAACCTTTAGTGTCTTAGTGGTCTTAAAGATAACATTACTTTACATCCTTGTTTCTTATTTCTGGTTCTGTTACTGTTGTGAAGGCTCTATTGGACGTCTATACCATCCAAAGTGAAATTGGAAAATTAGATGGCATCAGTGTAGCCTTAGTTGGAGATCTTGCCAACGGAAGGACAGTCCGGTCTCTGGCATACTTGCTTGCCAAGTTTAAAGACGTGAAGATCTACTTTGTTTCCCCTGAAATTGTGAAAATGAAGGTTAGTATCACTAAACTTACCACCCTCCTTGAGAGAACCTTAAGAAGATGGTTTAGTTTACTCGAGAACATCATTGTGTAGGTTGCTTATCATTTTCATTGTGTTCTTTTAATGGTAGGATGATATAAAAGACTACTTGACATCAAACGGGGTCGAATGGGAAGAAAGTTCAGATTTAATGGAAGTAGCATCCAAGTGTGATGTAGTTTATCAAACCCGAATCCAAAGAGAGAGGTTTGGAGAAAGGCTTGACCTTTACGAAGCAGCTCGTGGGAAGTATATCGTAGACAAGGATCTGTTAGGAGTAATGCAGAAAAAAGCTATTATCATGCATCCTTTACCGAGATTGGATGAAGTAAGTTAAATAAAACCTCTATTTTTTTCTTTCACTCTCTGTAATTCTGCTTGTGTAGATCACTGCAGATGTTGATGCTGATCCAAGAGCTGCCTACTTCAGACATGCTGATCCAAGAGCTGCCTACTTCAGACAAGCAAAGAACGGTTTGTTCATTAGAATGGTTCATGGTCGTTAAGTTAAATCCTTTAGTGAACTGAATCTCAAGCCTATCATCAGCACAAGGACTCTGCAATAATAAAACCCGAAGCTTTAGGGATTTTTGAGTGTTAAGCACAAAAGCGGTGTGATCTTGATGTTACTTAAAAGAACAAAAAGAAGGATCTGTTGGTTTGTTGGTTAAAAGACTGATATGAGGAAGAGTTGTTGAACTTTATGAATAAAATGATTTTGAGCTATTTTTTTCCCATTTGTGGTCAACCGCAAACGCAAACACAGTTTGGCCTACCACTTCTCCAAAGGACGAAACATACAGAGAAGAAGAGAGTGACTTTCACTTTTCAGATTATCACGGAAATGCCCTTGCTTCTTTCCAAATTGGCTTGAGATTGAGCCTTTACATTTTCAAAATTAGGTAGGTGATTAATTAATTAATTAATTATGATTAATAATAATAATAAACACATGGGATTTTCCGTCTTTTCTCTTTGCCGTCTAAGTCCCAACAACAAGCCTTTGGAGAAGCTATTCTCAGATTCACGACACCAGTTCGTCACAAGCTTCGAGCCCAGGTATTCTCCAAAAACCCTAATTTCGACTTGTAATTCGATCGGTAAAGTAGAAGCTTCACGCAATTCGCATGTTTCTTTCTCTTTCTAACTACAGCTCGGAAACAAAATTGGAACTTGCAACATAAAGTTTAGTTTTTTATTGAATTTGGAAGATGATTGGGAATGCGGTTATTCAAGTTCCATCATCACTAATGCCATCATCTTCCATGATTGCTTGTCCTCGAGTTTCACCCAATGGGGTTCCTTATCTTCCACCGAAACCGAGAACTAGGCATTTACTGGTCAGAGCTGCATCCAATTCCGACGCTGCTCATGGTCAACCATCGTCTGATGAAGGGAAGAATCCGCTCACGGTTGTTTTGGATGTGCCCAGGAATATATGGAGACAGACTTTAAAACCTTTGAGTGATTTTGGGTTTGGTAAGAGAAGTGTTTGGGAAGGTGGGGTTGGTTTGTTCATTGTCTCTGGAGCTACGCTTCTTGCTCTTAGCTGGGCTTGGTTGCGAGGGTTTCAAATGCGGTCCAAGTTTAGGAAATATCAGACTGTGTTTGAGCTTAGTCATGCATCAGGCATTTGCACGGGAACACCGGTTAGGATCCGTGGGGTTACTGTTGGTACGATTATCCGTGTTAATCCTTCCTTGAAGAATATTGAAGCTGTTGCTGAGGTATGATCTAGTGGTGCTATGATCTGGTTTTGATAGTACATTTGTTTCTTAAATTAGGCTCTTGTAATCTTTTGCAGATAGAAGATGATAAGATTATTATCCCGAAGAATTCACTAGTTGAGGTGAATCAGTCTGGTCTTCTAATGGAAACTATGATCGACATTATGCCTAGAAATCCGATACCAGAACCTTCAGTAGGACCTCTGCATCCTGAATGTGGTAAAGAAGGTCTGATCGTTTGTGATAGGCAGACGATAGAAGGAGTGCAAGGAGTTAGTTTAGATGAATTAGTTGGAATTTTCACTCGTATTGGACGCGAAGTAGAGGCCATTGGTGTTGCCAATACGTATTCGCTTGCTGAAAGAGCAGCTTCGGTTATTGAGGAAGCAAGGCCATTGCTCAAAAAGGTGATATGAGTCATTTTGTTGGCCTTTGTTAGATCTTCTTTACAGTATTCAAAAAGAGTCGCTAGGTGAATTTCAAGATTGTTATAAAAAATGTATTATCATGCTTAAGCGTTGGGTTTTGATGTAGTGATGTCACAGATTCAAGCCATGGCTGAAGATGCTCAACCTTTGCTCTCTGAGTTTCGTGATAGCGGCTTGCTCAAGGAAGTTGAGTGTCTTACTCGAAGCCTTACCCAAGCTTCTGACGATTTGAGGTAAGAGCTCTTGGCATATCGTTTTGAATATTTTGAATTCCACAGTGCAAATGCTAAACTATTTCTGCCTCATGATGAAAACAGACCATATGATAGATATAAAACACACTTGACTTCCATCTACTTCTGTGGCTTCAAAACTCTATTTGTGGACTAGTTTCTGAACAAGAGCTCATCGTTAAAACATATACTTATCGATGCATAAATGTGTCTTATCTTACGGGTTTCATGTTAAATTAACTGCTTTGCTCATCACTGCTTTTCAATATTTCCTTTATTGTTTCAAAATTTCAATAATTGATCATCTTGTTTGCCTCTTTTACTCTATTGTTTCTGAGACCGAATCTACTGTTTTTATCACTTAATGTATGTTCCTGGACCACATCTATGTAAAAGCTCGGTTAGATACATGCGTATGTTTAATTGAGAGATAAGCTCTATGATTATAAGAACCTATGTTCTTACGGTAGACAGCAAAATCTAATTATCTTTTGTGTTACATTGCAGAAAGGTTAATTCGTCAATTATGACACCTGAGAATACAGAACTCATACAGAAGTCAATCTACACTCTGGTTTATACTTTGAAGAACGTCGAGGTAAACTTTGTTTCTTCTTATTCAATCAATATCAGCTTTGACAAGTTGGAAGAAATAATGTTAACAAAGACTTGGTTTATGATTTTCTTGATTGTAGAGTATAAGCTCAGATATTCTGGGGTTCACAGGCGATGAAGCCACAAGAAAAAACCTTAAACTACTCATCAAATCCCTAAGCAGGCTACTATGATCAGCCTGTAGATTTGTCTGGAAAATAAAATCCAGAATTTTTAAGGTGAGCAAGTTTAAATTATTCAACAAGGAATGTGGTGTTCTTCTTTAGAGTTGATTTTTTTTTTTTTTCGTTTTGTGTTTGAATTTGGGTTTTAATGGAGAGACAAATTCAGTGTTATACGAACAAAAATGTGTGTGTCTCCATTAATGCGTTTCCGCAACAGCATTTACTTTTAACACGGGAGACGACGACGATGACGATAAGCGCGTCTCGTTTTCGTGTAGGGTCCCAAGGAAGGAGAAGAAGACCTCCTCACTACTAATAATAATTTCGAGACGGAGTACTATTATTTAAATAAATGAATTCAAATGAAATAAAATAAAATACTTGGGAGGGTGTTTTTGGTCATTACAAGTGGACTATTTGGTCTCTAGGTACATTTTAATAATAAACAAATAAGACTTAAGATTTTATTATATAGATTGTGGTCAGGGTCAGGACAGAGAGTGCAAGTGCTTTCCCTCTTTTACTTTCTTCGCATTTCGAGACATCTCTTGTGAACTCTTTTAAATATTTTTCAATTTTTGTTTTTTTTTCCCATACAAAATATCGAATAAAAAGTTTAAAGCAAAAGAAAAAAGAATCCAAGTTAAGAAAAATGATACTCCATAATTAAATTTAAACGAAAAACGAATTGGTCGGTCTTGTGGGTCGGGCGTGAAGGTAGAGAGAAAATCGAAATTAACAACCAAAAAAAAGAAGAGAAAAAGCTATTCCAACCATAAATTATTATTATTACAAAAAAAATGAAATTCTTTGAGTAAATTATATTTTTTTTTTTAAAAAAAGAGAATTTTAATATTTTTCCAATCTGTACCCTTTGTTCCTTCATCTTCTTCCTCATCTTTCCTCTTTCTTCAACATTTTCTTCTCTTCTTCATCACATTACTTCTGGTTTTACACCTTTTTTCTTCTCCATGAGGAAAGGGAGAGGCTCTTCCGTCGTTGGACCCGCCCTTCCAGTAACCGCCGGTGGATCTGTGAAGGAGCCGAGGTATAGAGGCGTTAGGAAGAGACCTTGGGGTCGATTCGCGGCTGAGATCCGTGATCCATTAAAGAAGTCTCGTGTTTGGCTCGGTACTTTCGATTCCGCCATAGAAGCTGCACGCGCTTACGATACCGCCGCACGTAACCTCCGTGGTCCAAAGGCTAAGACCAATTTCCCGATCGATTGCTCTCCTTCTTCTCCTCTCCAACCTCTCAACTACCTCCAGAATCAGAATCAAAATCAGAACCTCTGTTCTCCTGCGGCGAATCAGAACCAGATCGATCCGTTTATGGACCATCGGTTATACGGCGGAGGTAATTTTCAGGAGCAGCAACAGATTATTAGTCGGCCGGCGAGTAGCAGTATGAGCAGCACCGTCAAATCGTGTAGCGGACCGAGACCGATGGAAGCCGCGGCGGCGTCTTCGTCGGTGGCGAAACCGTTACATGCGATAAAGAGATATCCGAGGACTCCACCGGTGGCTCCGGAGGATTGTCATAGCGATTGCGATTCTTCGTCGTCGGTTATTGACGACGGAGATGATATAGCATCTTCGTCTTCGCGCCGGAAACCGCCGTTTCAGTTTGATCTTAATTTCCCGCCGTTGGATGGCGTTGACTTATTCGCTGGCGGGACAGATGATCTCCACTGTACCGATCTACGTCTATGATTTCGTGGTAAAAAAAAAAAAACCAACAAGATCCGTTGATTTACACAAATTTTTACAAAATGAAAATTTTATGCTCCTTTTTTTTTTCATTTTCCTTTGATATCATATTGAAAGAAAAAAAAAAGGAAGAACAAAAAAAAGATTGAGCGTGATGATTTTTATCATCAACGAAGATGATGACGATTAAAAAGAAAGAGAGAGAGAGAGAGAGTGTGTTAAGATCTGTTACTGTAAGAACCAGATCTGGGTTTCGTTTATCTGTTTCATATAAAAAGATCAACCCTTTGTTATACATATATAACATATTCTGAAGCTGATGATGATGATTTCTAAATGATTCAAATCCATAATCTTTAGATTTCTACTTCTTCTTAGAGTATCCCATGATGTGAGTAGGAAGCTGCATTTACACTATATGTAACAGAACCACACAGGGCACAAATATTTGTTTGTCTCTCGTCTCTTGGCTTCATCTTGATTAATTCAGGGTCTGTGAGATGGAAGCAAAACATCGTGTGGTAAAAAGATTGAAGAAAGAAAGACGGTGAAGCTCCTTTGCTATCTAATTGGGGAAGTAAACTGGGTGATTCGAAGAGAGAAGTTGGAATACTCATTGTCATTCTTAAGCCTGAAGTATTCATTCATCTTTTTAGATGCAGCATGGAGACAAGAAAGGCTTTCCCTTTCGTGTATCTATCGACGTTTGGATGTTAAACAACAGAGAGATTAAGGGCATGGTCAATGGGCGGTGAGTGATTTGGGTGTGATCGATAAATCTCAATGACCAAAGGCCAAATCTTTAGGTTAAAGTTTGGTGGCTGAGATGATTGTTTTGATCTTTAAGAGCTGTGGGTTGGGGTGGCAAATTTCCTTGTGTTTTGACCTTTTTGATTTGAATTTGCTGGTAGAGACTTGTCCCAAATTTGGTATCTACTTTGCTTCTCTGCCACGGATTCAGACAGTGAATCTTTGTGTCTGAAGCAAATCCGAGCTTTTTTAACCGTTTTGGGTAGGCTTCTTCTTAAGTTAAAGTGGAAGTCAAAAGCAATGTCTTGTTTTTTTTTTTTACTCTTAACGATTTATGACTTTAACTGATCTCAAGTCGCTTTTCCTTTTCGGTTCGAATTTCTATTTGAGATTAATCTTCTAATTTATCTGGAGTTGAGAATAATCCACAATGATACTTTTACTTTTGCAACCAATTTCGAGGATTGAGTTATTAAGACTTTGAAATGATAGTTTCTCTCCAAATGATTCTAAATTGCTCTCCCGGGAGTAGATTAAATGAGACAAATTGGTCTATTCTGTAGTTATTGAAGATGGTTCTAGAATTAAGGAGAAAATGAAGAATCTAAAAATTGTTGAGACAAATGGATTCACTAACTAGACAATGGAATGGCTTAGATAGTAGTATTCTTGAATTTAGGAGAAAAAGAAGGGTCAAAAAAGATTAACATGGGAAATGGCTAAAGGTTAACTAGACACATGGAGAATGATTAGAGAGTAATATAAAATAGGAATCGGGCACCTGGCCATCACTAGTCTAAATAGGAGTGCATGGTGATAAACTGATAATTATAAAATCATCAATCTTTTTTTTTTTTTTTGTCAACAAAAAGACTAATCACTCATTAGCTAGGCTTGTTCTATTCTCTTTCCAAACATACAAAAGAGTTTGGCTTGTCGTCATAGTTCTCCTATTTTCATCTTAATCACTCAAAAGATTAATTGTCGGAAAACAAGACTTTTGAGTTATAATAAACGCCTGAAATACTCATTGAAATTAATTGATTAGAAGTAGATTACCGGTTTGCGTGTTCCTAACTCAACGTGTTTATCTGTATCAGCCCACAAAAGCTTGTGCCGGTCCATTTTCCATTCTTCTAAACTTACAATTTCCTACGAATTTAATATAATAATTCACAATTCGCAAGACAACCACTTCAACCAAACCACTCACTTTGCATTTTGTTTTTCTTTATCGAGGAAGTTATGTATCTTGTGTGTCTATCAACGTTTTGAGATTTGGAGACTCACCGAGTGAATTTATTTTGTTTATTCTACAGAGATTATTTGAAATTTGATCGTTAAATTTTTTGATTTGTTCTCTCATTATTTATCATCTATTGTGTAAACACAGCTTTTTAAATTTCTGGACACATCAAGTTATAACAATCTAATTTACATTGTACATATGGAATTTTAAAAAAAAAGTTACGAAAAAGAAAGATAACAAAAGAATATATTTTGAGCTTTGACCAAATCAGGAAAGCTGTGGTTCGATAGTTCTTGAAACTCTTTTATATAGTGGGGGCTAATAAAAAATGATCAATCTTGAATTTCAAGTAATTACAGAGAATAAAAAACAGACTTCAGAACAAACCGGTGAATACACGTTTGTTCTACATTTAAAAACATGTAAAGACGTGACTTACTTTTTAATTTTTTATATACAAAATTAAATTCTCTTTGAATTTAGGACAAACTACAATAAAACAAACAAAAGCAATCAAATGTTGCAAACCAACTATGGTGAATCCTGAATTCGAAGCATTAATATACCATTAAAATTTACCATTTTACTACGAAACTTTAACATGATTAAAAAAATAATGTTGCTCTTGACATGATTTTTGTTTTCTTATTTTTTTTTTGTCAAACGATTTTTGTTTTCTTATGTGTTCTATACTCTTCAGCAAAGGAAATCAATCATGTGACAGGTTATTCGTTTCTACTACTAAGAACTAAATGCATTTTTTTTTCTCGTAATCTATATATATAGAAGGGAAATTTGAATGCATAACCTACAAAAATCTATAAATTAAGAAACTAACATTGAAAAAATATTAAAAAAAACTAAAAAAGGAATATAATCACAAGAACGAAGGTTTAAAACTTTAAATACTATAGTTGCTTGTAATTTTAAATAGAGTAAACAACAAAAATTATTTTGTAAGTTTCGATTCTTCAACAAACAAACAAACAAACAAAACAAATTAAATCAAGGGAAATTGTTAAAAATATCCCTTTTGGTGTGTTCCTTTTCAAAAATGCCCCTTTTAGATGTCCATTTTAAAAAATGCCCCTTTTTAAATCTGAAATTTTTATAAAGTTTTATTAGGTTTATAAGGTACTTATGGATTGTAACTACTACTTGAAGACTCGATCCAAGTATTTATAAGGTTTTTTTAAAGGTTTTACAAGTTATTTTAAAGGATTTTTAAGGTTTTTCAAAGGTTTTACAAGATATTTTAAAAGTTTTTAAAGGTATTTAAAATGCATTTATAAGGTATTTATAAAGTATTTATAAGATTTTAGATACATAGAAATGTAGTTTGTGTATGTTTTAATAATATTACATATATATTTGGGTAAATCTTATATTTTTAAGAGCATTTTTCATAAGGTTTTAAAAATGGAGTATTTTTGAAAAGTGACATTGAAAAAGTGGCATTTTTGCAAAAGCTCCTTAAATCAAATGACTCAACATTTGATTAAGAGATGTAACAACATTTATCGTATAGTAAATGAAATAATGAAATATTCTCAAAGTCGTGAGGCCGAGGGCATATAAAGATGAATAGTTGAATACATAGGCAGCCACTCACAAGGGCACAAGTAATAAAACCAAACCCATGATTTATTCGAATAATCGACAACTTAATAGTATATAAATTATATAATATTACTCAATTCCATTAATCATCAAAATCTTCAAACTTTATATACTCATCCTTCCAATAAACTCAAGACATGCCGCCGGGGATCTAAAATTCTTTAAGTAATCCTTTAATTAAAAATTAAGACGGACAAAATGAGAGTTTAAGAAGACATCAAATCAATAATAATGGTAATTATAATTAGATTAACAACATACGTGGCGCCGTAAGTGCGGAGATATGCATAATCTACGGCCTAAATTTTACATCTCACATGTCAATGTAGGACCCATTCTACAGCCTGTGTTCACTTCTCCAGCATCTTTTTTATTTATTTTTATTTTGCCTCTTTCTATGTTTTTTTTTCTAATATTTTTTCATTGCCACGTAAACTTATTTCCGCCGAAATATGGAGTGTAATTTTTGTTTTGTCAAGAAAAGAATTGGCCACAAAAGGTTTTATTAGTGTATATATATATATATATTATTTTTTTTGTTTTTTTTTTTGTTTTTTTTAGTATATAGTATTTGATCTATAACATACTACTAAAACCTATTTAACAGATAATTCCATGAACTTCATATAAAAAAAAAATCATTAACTACACTAATTTACATGCTATTAAGGTCTATAAATAGAAAATAAAATCTAAAATTTGATGATGAAAATACTTTATTAACAAGTAGATAGACCCCGTGATTGTGAAATCATGGTTGTCGCATGAACACAAAATCTACTTTCCTTTTTGTATCATCGTGAATCAAAAAATCTCTCTTACGATGGAAGTGCACAATTTCGTCTCCACTTAATCCCCAAATTCTACACTATTTGTTCAGATATCCCGTCATGAATAATTCTAAAATCATAGAGTAGAGAAACCCCAAGTCACTTGTATTTTTGAAATTTTAAATATTCGAATAAATACTCATATTTCACATTTCATATGTTTAATCGAATTAATAAGTACAACAAAATGATTAAAAAAATATTTTAAACCTGGTGCCAAAATAATAATAATTATATATTTAAACCTTATAAACTAGTAACTATATAAAATCACTGTTAAATACCTTAAAAATCTATATATACGTCCTAAAAAAGAAATATGAACTATCAAAACATGGTAAACCATATAATATAATATCTTTTTAACGAAAAGAAAAACCATATAATTATATTTATGTTAATAAATTACAATTTATATAGATGGTTGTAAAATTAATCCACGTTAACATCGATCCTTTATAAATAACCTTAGACAATTTTAGTCATTCCTGATTCTGTCTCCTTCTTCCAAAATCCAAACGCGTCATCAATTTATATTTAGAAGAAAAAAAACAGAGCCTCTCCTCAAATTTCTCACTTTCCGAGCGATCGTCCATGGCGGACATCGACATCGGGACCGCAGCAACAACAGGAGGAAACGACGGAAGAGGAACACGAGAACGTCTAATAAACCGAGAAACCAAGTTCACACGTAGCGTATCTCACGCACAAGACGAGCTCCAGAGTTTCCGGAAATATCTGCGATGGATGTGCGTGGATCAGTCGAGTCCTTGGACCGCGGTTCTCTCTTGGTCTATGTTTGTTGTTTTCACGCTCGTTGTTCCTGCCACGTCTCACTTCATGCTC